ATAAGTATTAAATCACTGTAATAACTTACTTGTCAGTAGCTTGTGCCGGTTTTATGCTCAGGGCATACATACTCCAAAAGTTCCGAATAAGCCTGGAGACACTATATGTGAGGTTACAGATTTGTGATTGAAAACTGAAGCCGTCCTGTTTGTTATATCATATATTTGTCATTAACGTATATATTGTCAAGCATTTAAATATTAAACATTAATGGTCTATGGTGTCTTTTATTTCGAGTTTACAGGAATATACTGAATTGACATACAAAAGAAATTAATTATTGCAATTTGTTATATCTTACCTCTCTGAATTTTTTTAAAGGTTGAATTAGAAATCATGGACGATTTTTTTTCTCATGCCAAAGATTTGTCTATATTTTGCTACAAGAGCATAAATAAAAAGATCGATTTAAAAAAAGTATATATAAAAGGTGCCCATTGATAATGATAATTTTATTTCTGCAATGTTTAAACAGGGACCGTTTTTAAAGGAAAACACCCAAACTTACTAAGTACAGGCTATAAGCTACCCTCTAGTGCTAAGAAAACCAAAGAATATCTATATTTGTATGTATTTACAAGGATAATAATGAAAAAATATTCCACATAATCGATTAAAAAACGACAAATTGTAATAATCCCAAAATGAAAACCAAATTATTTTGTGTCAGTGTATCTGTAAATAAGGACTCGATGGTATTCAGTTTAACGTGAAATATGGAGATAATAAACAGTACACATGATCAAAATTCCATTCAAAAAATCAAATAATACATATTAAGAGTAGAGCAAACACTGAAATCTTAAATATCAGAGTTGGGATCGGGTACCATGAATGAGTCAGCATTCCCTCTGCATCGGCCACACTCGACTGGCCCTTGGCTATTAACGGTCAAACAAAAACTCGTAGGTAATTCGGTGCGTAAAATGGTTTAAAAATCAGTATGAAAACTGTCAGTCTGCAGTCGATTTAATGAACGATTGTACAAGCCGACAAGGTCATTCTATCGATCATAGAACTTGCAAAATAATGACTTTAAACAAAACTGTAGATATCATGGTTTCCTCAGCTTGTTTCCTCATAATTAGAAATTCAACAATTAACAGGATTAAATGAAGAAAACATCAAAGTAAAATATATTTTTTCGATGAGAAAAGCATGTTTTCGAAACAACATTTGTCATTTTACTAAATAACGTAGGAAAATGGTAATGAATTCCTTCAGTTTAAGGGTCGATACGCGCGTTTTGTTTGGAATGAGTCGATTTTGTCGACAAACCGGAGACAATGATTTTAAAGTGACCGTTAGATTCTGCACACAAGTGAATGATATCAAAAGTGCATTTGACATGTTTTACGTTTAATAGGAATAAACTTGGTATAAGGCGAAAATTTCCCATAAACAATCATTAAAGGGGATTAAATGCAAATATATCGTGTTTTAGTCCATTTTCAGGCTTTTCGTTTCAAAAATATTGTGTTTGCAAAATTTTTTTTAGTGAACCAATTAATAAAATTTGAAATCATCGAATTGTAGGAAGTAGTAACTACTGCTAAGATTTTGAGACCCTTTCTTGCAATTCATTTTTAGTGTTGTTCTGAAACATAACTCAGTAGAGTTTGTGTAACTGTCTTAAATATTCAACTTAATAAGTTATGATAGCTGAATAAATTTCACACTTACATTTATACCCTGTTCACGAGTTTTATTGTTTGTAGATTCACATCCTCTATTCCAATTCTATAACAAAAATAGAGAATTGTCTTTAATGTTGATTAATTATAGAAGAAGGCCATGGTCATCCCAAGAGAAAGGATTAAAAATATAAATGTACAACAAAGGGATGCTTGCTCCTCCTAGACACCTGATCCCACTTATGATATTTCCAGGGGGTCTGTGTGGAAGCCCTGTATCTATATCGTTTAAAGTTTTTTTTTTTCATGTTTTTGTTCGATATTTTCACCATTTATTATTGATGAAACGAAACATATGAAAATAGTGAACGGTATGCAAGCTCAAAAGTTTATTAAACAATACAAAATAAGAGCACTGGCCTCCCAAACATCAGAAGTGGGATTAGGTTCCATGGAAGAGTGATCATCCCCTGCCGACCGTTCACATCCGCCGTGTGTTCCTTGTCATAACATAATTTTTATGGAGCTCATATTTTTAAAATGGAACCTCTTGTTTTTTTCAGAGGTCTGTGTTTGTACTTTTTCATTTTTTTATTTTTAAAATATTGCTTTAATCGATTTTGAGTTATCCACTTGCTTGCAGTAAGGCGCATAATATTGTATTTGTTTTACAGTCTTCTTTCTATTTTGTAAAACAAAGATGCAAAAAAGTCTTCAGATCTGTGATATATTAATTCATGACTTTAACATTTCTATCGTCAACTTCCATTACTTATGCAGCAATATACCTTCATTACCTGCTTACGGAGTTTATGTATCTGAGTTGATTAGATACGCAAAAGCATGTTCTACACATGAAAAATTTCTAAAACGAGGTAAATTATTGACAAACAAGTTGATGAAACAAGAATATCAGCAGTCTCAATAAAAGATCTATGGTCGATACAATGACAAGCAAATGCAATTCATCAGTGAGTCAAATGCTGACTGACGTTTTTCATACTAATTGTTAGTTCATTATTTATACACTGAATTGACAACGGATTTTTCCGTTATTTTCCAGTCATGACAAGAAGCACACGTCGGGTGTGACCGGTTGGCAAGGGATGCTCACATTCCATGGCACATGATCCCACCTCTGATGTTTTGAGGTCCGTGTTTGCTCTGCTCCTATTTTGTATTGTTTTATGGCCTTTTGATCTTGAATACTGTTCGTTAACCTCATGTGTTTTATTCTAACTAACGACAGATTGTAATAAAACAAATAATCATATCGACCATATGATTTCTGATGTGTTGCCTGCAAACAAGACTGTTCAACTCCTTAATCACAAACTTATTTGTCATTACCCTACCTCGTTTTAGAAAGTGGATGTACGTTGAACAAGGATACACAGGTTCCATCTCCTTGTGATGATGGCAAATTGCTACAATTATATCAGTGAGGGACTTTGACGATAGGTATGTTTGTCACAACGCAGTTTGCTATTTGCCAATTTGTCTTTTTCTGGTAAAACATTCAGATATAAATCCTGCTATGAGAGCATCAGTCTAATTAATCAAATTTACGGTAATACATGCTTTCAAAACAATTGTCTATTTGATTTTGCATATGTTTCCATTAGAAACTTCAATGAGTCTATGTCACAGTCCCTCCTAAAGCAAGTAAGTCTTGAAAATATACCTTTTTTTCCAGTATTAACTAACACATGAAACACATGGAGATAACGAACAGTACTCAAGATCAAAAGTCTATGAAAGAATACAAAAAAGGATCAGAGCATTCACGGACCTGCAAAACATCAGAGATTGGATCAGGTGCCATGGAGGAGAGAGCATCCCCTGTCGACCAGTCAAACCCGTCGTATGTTCTTTGTCATGATCAAGAAATAATGGAATAATCTCTGGGAATTTTAAGATTTCAAGAATCCTTTTGTCACCAACGTCCTCGGTCAAGAGGAGATGCTCGCTCCTCCTACGCAACTGGTCCCATCTCTGGATTATCCAGGGATCCGTGTTTTATGCCTTGTCCAAGATTTGCATTATTTGTAGATTTAACACAAAACACTCTTTGTTCGTTATTTTCTCTTTTCCTAATTCTCTTTCACGTGATAAATAAAGGCATGTAATTGTCCATAAAAATAAAAATAAAACTGAAAATGATTCTCTTTTGGACTTACAACAACAAAATATTGTTGATGTTGTCAATTTAACTTTGTTTTCAGAAAAGAGAAAGCTTTTAAATCGTTTTTTTACTTTGCAAGAATATTAACACGATAAAGCGTTTTCTCTGCTATGATATTCTGATTTGTGAATGCATGGCATGCACACACTATCGCTCTTAGTATCATTTTGTTCGATCGGTCTCGATACAAAAACACAACATGCCTGAAAAAAATTTAAAGGAACCTACGCTTAGTTATTATTCTTGTTCATGACAAAAGCGACGTTGATGGTTTCTTATTAACGTCAGGCAATTTTCTAAATTATGATTTATAAGGCTTCAGTTGTACATATACCCTGATTGTTCGAAATTCATAACCCTAAGAATAAAGCAAGAGACGAAATAGATGACACACAACAATCATCAACAGCTAGTGCTAAGGTATTTCATTTGTTTTATACTTATCTTATGACAAGTAAAACGAAGCATAATTTTAATTGTGTTCACTCTAGAAATATTTTAAAACCTGTGAATATGAAAATAAATAACAATAAATTGATATAATTTGGAAATTTTTTTTTAAATTAAATCTAAATGATTTCAAAGGTCACAAAGATTAAAACCCTTATATAATTGCAATAAGCCTTTTGAAAATAAAAACAAGTATCTAAGCTGATTTTCACAGAGACTACAAAGGCTTTTAACTTGCACTTGACAATATTTATCAATAACCAGTGTTGGCTATTACCTACGACGATAAGAGCAATCCCCCTTTTATTAATCTGTATCGAACACTCTCTGGAGGTTATAAGCTACTCACTTTATGACGAGGAGACACTTCTCTCCTAATGCCGTGATTTGGAAGTCGCTAGCTTCGGTTTAGTCAGCCTATCTTATAAGTTAATACCCTGTTATCGTCGACATCTGACGGGGATGACAGCTACAGTTGCTGCTTCATTTGAAATAAATACCTAAATAGTTGCATGAAGGCCAGCTTTTGTAACAGTGTATAGTATTTATTCTGCCATAAAACAGCAAAAGAACGCTCGTGATTATTTCATAAAATTTGATTTTACAGCCATTATTTGAATCTCATTAGGAGCGGGGTGGAATACCATTAGTACAGTTGAACATTGTCTGTGAGTGTGGACTCCGAGGGCGTTCATCACTGCAGGGGTCGGGAATATGACAACCATACATCACAACATCATTTACGGCAGGTCGTAAAATTTTGACGATCCCGTCACCGAATTGTTAAACAATTGAACTATATAATTTGGAAGCCGACCTCACCATGGATATGGATGTCACAACTTCTGGATACACTAACAGGACGGACGGTATGCTTTTCCCGACGGAAGAAAAGGTAGGGAGGCTTCATTATTTTTTTAATTGTTGTTTCCTCTTTATTATTTTTATGACATGGAATAGGGGATAAGTACGAAAAAATAGATTTATTGATCACTGTTTGTTTATCTTTATATTTTGCTTATTATCATGCTCTTTTGAGTGACACATTTTTTATAAAATATTTTTATTTTTGAAAAACGAAAGCGAAGGAGAACATTTCTAATTTTTAAATTGTTATTAATTTTCAATCGTTTAATTGCATGTAATATTTAAAACACGACGTGATTTATGCATACTTCATTAGTATGTGTGCAATTTAACAGTTAACAATTTATAGGTAGAATACAGATTGTTAATGGAGGCAAATATATATCAATTTAATGGAGGTCATGGTCTGTCACCGATGTTGTTTTAATCACATTTTGGTGGCATTTATTGAATGGGAATGGAAGTGATTTACAAATATACCAATGATACTTGTTTCCAAAGATCGCTTTCCTTAATACAATATACTCCATTTTGTATTCCAAAGAAATGGTGTGCCTCTAATAGATGACGAGATCAGATCAATTTAACACTGGACTCTATTACATTATTCGACTTTTCCCAGTTTATAGAAGTAGAACACATAAATGTGGAACTGCATAAAATATTTACAAGAAATTTCAAGAAATGGATTGAAACATGATAAATGCCAGGATAAAGTTAACAATATTGAAAAAAAGATATATTGAAAAGGAATTCAATGTATTCTCCTAAAATATATCAAAATCAACCACACATACTCTCTCTCTCTCTGTCTCAGATTCCCTACATATAAATATTTAGCTAATTTTAATTTGTTAAAACTTAAGTTTAATAAGTTATTTTATTAGTTTAAGGATAAAAATAATGATTTAAAAAATTGCTCTACAAAGTAAAAAAAAACAGCAACAATGCTTTGCTCATATCGCAATTACATTTTTTAATAAAATACTAACAGAAGTGAATTTCATGCATCTGGGTGTCTATAGGTGATAATGACTTTTAAGGACACCATGGGCATTCCCTCCAACAAAAATTATTTTGATAATTTAATTTTTAACTCTCATAGGGAATAAGCTTCTTTATCAGTGAACTCTAAGGATAATAATCAGTAATCATGTTCAATAATCCATTTAAACAATACAAAATAGAGTAGAAGAAACAGGGGCCAAACAAAGTTTCCATTAAAAATTGAGCATCCTCTATCGAGCAGTTATACCCCAATAACATCTTAACATGTAAACATATATAGCACACTTGGGGCAATGCTAGATGTTATTCTAATGCATTGCAAGGCATTGCTTTAAATCAAATTAATGTTAGTTAAAATGCATGAAAAATCTACGTTAGATAAAATGGTAATGCAATTGCATTACCTTCTGAAATCCAGAATGATACAGGCATTGCAAGCAATACAATGCATTATTTTCTATAAATGTTACGAAGTCTTTTATGATAGACAGAAAAGTCACATTCTGTAAGAAACTTCAAGGGTTTCATCTCATGAGACAGAAAAAGTATTCAAAATATTTACTGTGAATTATATATAAATAATGTTGATAATCAAATACAAAAAAAAACATTTATCAATTTTAGAGAGGTGGTGGTGTTTATAAAAATTAAAATATTAAAATAGTTTCAGAATTTTTCAAATTCTATATTTGAAAACACAAACCATAATGGTAACGATGATAAATTACTTTACAAAGTAGGCCTAATAGTAATGTTATAGATATCTCTTAGATATTAGAGTAACGACAATGATACATTTACTGCCAACTTCTAGAAGAAGAGGAAATGTAATGCATTCCTTAGTGTAATTCACCAGAAGCCTGGAACATATCATTCAAACTTTGTACATTATTTTTTGCATTTTGCACCCCTCCCGTTTGTTAACTTCTTTGTATATAAAGCATTCACAGTGAAGATTCATATAATACATGAATGTCATATATGTTGTTTTTTGAAATGAACTTGTATTAGTATTAACCAAAGAAAAAAAAATCTTAAACACCTACGAACTCACATACTTAGTAGTGGTTGTTCATGTGAAAAAATTTAATACGTTTGTTTTACTGAATTATTCACATGAGGTATATTTAAGCATATTCATATTTTGGGATGTCTTCGGTCCTATAACACACCTGGCCGTGCCGACAAAATTAATACCGCGCGTTAGCGCGGTATGATAATTTGTCGGCACGGCCAGGTTTATAGGACCGAAGACATCCCAAAATATGAATTCAATACTTATATTTACATTCTCTAATTTTTCCTCTTCATGATTGTTTATTTCGGTAATCTTTGATGTGAATTTAGCGACTTTCAAAACTAATGTGTTTTATAGACGTAAGAGCCGTTTGTGACGTTTGTGACGTCGTAAAGTTAAATAACGCAAACGAACATTGCGAGGAAAAAAGTGACAAATTAATTTTAAATGCACATTTGTTGTATTTTTACGTTAATTCAACAGGGTTAATTTCTTAAAATTAAATTGTGTCAAACAATGTACATTTTGGTGTTCATAAAGTATTGAAAATACATATAGTTCCTACTGTGTATTCTAACGAGCGGTGACAAGGTTTTGCGTGTATTATAGAGATTTGAACGTCATGGATTTCTAATGGATTATATAAAGAAAATTACACTGAATGTAAATATATGTAGTTATATTTAAAGAAATGTTGTTCAGCATATATGTTTTTGTTTATGTTTAACTTGAGTTTATTTCCCACAAAGTTATTATGTAAAATTGCGTATAATAATAGTTTTTTTTAAGGACCAAAACAATATTCCATTTAAAATTCAAAGGAAAAAACACAGTTGTCCTGTTTATATGAACGAGAAAGCCCACAGAAGTGCCATAAACGAAACTGCTTTTTCAGCAATATTTCCCTAAAACAACGTTAAGGTATACTCAATAAATTTCTAAGTTTAGGTATCAAAAAAATTATACTTAAAATTTCTCAGATAAGTTCTCAGGCTCTAAACCCTTAAGTTACCTCTTTCTGCTCGTAGAAGAGGTCTTTTAATTCAGCTTATGGTTAATATCAAATTTCCGTTGAAAGACCCTGCACAAGTGATTGATGTGACATTCCAGTGCATGTTAAGTTCAAATAAGAGCGATTTTATTGTTATCTGAAACTGTATTCCGAATAAGACATAAAATCTTTTCTCAGTAAGTATGTTTTACTGCCGAGTTCGCCATACATTTGATTTCCCTGCTGCTGCAGATTCATAGAAGTTTCAATTTTCTGATTGCTGTTTGACTTCATAGAAAACCAATGTTACTAATTCAATTAAATACAACATGTAAATTTGCATACCTTTTCATTTGTCTTCTACACCATAAAAACAACAAAATTTGAATGTGGAATGTTTTAGTCGTTTCTATTGACAATACCGGTATGTAACTATGTAAATTTACAGAACATTCCTTACTGAAATCACAGTGAGTGCTTATTGTGCTCCATATTAGCAAAATTTATTACAAAAAAACATCTGAACTTCCCAGCAATATACCTTCATCACCTTCAACACCTGCAATGAACAAGAGCGTGCTCTACATATGAACAATTTCTAAAACGAGGTAAATTAGAAACAAACAAATTGATGAAACATGAGTATCAACAGCCTCCTTTAAAATCATCCTTTAGTAAATTCTATGATCGATGCAATGACCTTGTCAGCAAATACAATTTATAATTGTGTCAAATGCTGACTAACGTTTTTCATACTGATTGTTGGACCATTATTTACACACTGTATTGACGACGGATTTTCCCTAATTTCCCGATCATGACACGGAGCACATGACGGGTGTGATCGGTCGGCATGGGATGCTTACTCCTTCATGGGATCTGATCCCACCTCTGATGTTTTGAAGGTCCGTGTTTGTTCTGCACCTATTTTGTATTATTTCATGGACTTTTGGTCTTGAATACTGTTCGTTATCTACGAAAGCCCAGAAGGCTCATTTGAGATTCGAGGTTCGAAATACGAAATTCAAGATTCGAAATACGAAATTCGAAATTCGAGATTCAAAATTCGAATATCAACAGATTAACCAATCTTTTAAAATCGATTATCCTTTAAATTCTTTGAAACCGTTTAATGCATTTATAACAATGAGTCATTTGATTAAATTACAATGCAAGAAAGAGTATTATATATATTAGGAAATTTTATAATTGTGTCAATTTATATGCTTCTTAAATATTGAATAGAATACATATATCAGGAGTATATATATTTTGTATCGTCTATTTTGTTTACGCTGTTGATGACATATAAATAAAGTTATAAATAAGTGACATGTGTCTAAAGATTAACAAATAACCCCACCCCTACCCACCCCACCTGCTTATTTTTCCAAACACACACTTTGTAAAACTTTGACGTAGTATTGAAAAACAAAAATCGAGTTATTTTTCCTGATAGAGTAAATACATAAAAAATAAGTTTTTATCTTCATCTAAGGCTTTGATTTCTTGAATTAATTAAAAATATATATATACATTGACAATATGAATTAAAATAAAGCATATGTATAACGATTATAGCGTTATGGTTTTAAATTTTAGTTTCTGACCATACCGTTTGTGACCAAAGACTAAATTATACTTGTGAAACCTTATAACGCTACAGTTCGATTCAGCAGCCAAGCTCACTGCACAAATGTACCCTTTAAAAATGTAATGAAATATATACCCTTGAATTACTGTGCAGTGTTGAGACGATTCATAATACTTGTATTTCATATCTAACCAGAATCACCTCTGATGTTTTGAAGGTCCGATAACACCATATAATATTCCATATATACGTATTTACTATTTTGTTTAACGAGAAAAATAAAAATATATATGTATTTTTCAAAATGTAATCAAATTTTATTTTTTATTTCGTTTTAATACATAAAACATTTTATCTTGCATTATCATTTTAGCAAATGACCCATTTGTTATAGATATATTCAACGATTTCTTGATAGTAAAAACATAACAAAGGGGAGTAATCAAAAGTTGAACCCGCGTTGAATTTCTCGAATTTCATATATTGAATCATTACATGAAAGGAGTAATTCTCATGCTGTGACATTGAATTCGAAATTTTAATATGTAGACTTTTATTATCAATGGTTAATTTTCATTTTCATTGCTGCCACAATTTAAAAAATCTCATTAATCATAAAACCTTATACTATAATATGTTACTTTTTCCTCCAAGGCACTGATCCCGCCTCTAGAATTATAGGGGCCTGTGTTTATGCCCTCTTAACAGATTTGAAAAGTGATTTTTTTTTCAACTTTTCTATCATATATGTCCTTATAAATATAACCTGAAGAATATATAATTCCTACAAGAAGGATATGGAGATAACGAACAGTATTCAATCTCAAAGTCCATTAAACAATATACAAAATAAGAGTTATGAGCAAACACGGACCAGTAATAACAAACGAAACATCAGTTTATATTTATATCTGTTTAAGTTTCATTTGATATGCAATATTTTAATCTTTATACGAATAATTTATAAAAAAAAAGACAGGCCTAATGACACAACAATTTGGTTTAAGGTCAATTTTCTTTCTGTCTTGGAATAATGACCTTGTTTGTAAATGCAATCAGTCGATAACATTAAAACGTACCACTTTTGAATAATTTAAATAAGCATTCCACGTGATAACATGATTTCCAGACTTTTTGACATCATAGACAGTTGTTCCTTCAATAAACAAATGGAACCCCGTTATAAGCAGGCCTATTTTGTAAATATATGAAGCAGAAATAACCAAAAAAACTTCTACTATAGAAAATACTTTGAAGACTGCGGCCTTCAAATCGACATTTTAAAAAAAAATTCGACTATGTACTATCAGTTAACAATGTTTACCTCTATTTGTATGTCTACCCGTTGACTCAATATATCCCACTGACCGTGAAATAAAAGATTCCACAGCGTCTGACACATTTATTTGATATTCTGACATTATACCAGAAAAAGACGTTAATGTAACATACCAACAAATCTTCATGAAATTTCCTTACTTATGCAGCTTACTTATGTAGCAATATACCCTTATTACTTGCATCTGGGACTATACTCTCTCAGCTGATTCAATGCGCAATAGCATGCTCTGAAATAATTATGCAATTTCTTAAATGATGCAAACGATTGACAAACAAGTTTAAAGTTAGTTTGCAAGTTTTATATTTGATACAACATGTACAATGACCTGTTAGCAAATACAATCTCTCATTTAGTCAAATGCTGACTAATGTTTTCATATTAATTGTCAGGCTGTTATTACCCACCAAACTGTATACGAATTTTCCCCCCTTTCCCGATCATATCAAGACGTATACGGCAAATGATGCTCACTGCTCTATGGATCTTGAACCCACCTCTGATGTTTATGAATGTCAATGTTTAATCTGCTTCCGATGTATTTTGTCTAAATTGACTTAAAGCTTGAATATTGTTATATCCATATTTCATTGTACAGCTGTCAAAAGATTTTTTCCGACCTTGACATGTAGCATGTTTAAAAGAAAGTGTTCCCTTAAATTAATCCTTGCTCAGCTGTGAACATATTTCCATCTCCTGTAGTTTCAAAGATATATAAACATCTTACGACAAGAAAAAAAAGAAAGAAAGAATTAAATTCCCAAAAGTTTGCTTTAAAAGTCTTGATCAGTTTGAACAAATGGAAGTGTTACTTGAAAAGAACGCCAATTTCTTTAGTTCAAAATAGCTTTGTTTCCTCGAAGATATGTATTTTATATGATAATACTATCACTTTTCATTTTCATAAAAATTGAAATTACGTTAATTGTTTCTATACTGAACTGAGAATGCACTAACAATAAGAAAGGGTTCACAACATAAAATGAAAAAAAATATTAAGTATATAAAAATGATATATAACGCCCCACATGATACATTCATATAAGAAACATAATAAGGGGATGCTTATAGAGTAGAAAATCAAATTGTTAACTAATATTTTTAAAATAAATTCGATATTTCTCATATTTTTGTTTAGAGACGCTAATGGTCAACAATGGAGCTCTATGATAAACGTAATGACTTCAACTTTTTAATCGTCAGCTTCTCTTACTTATGCAGCAATATACCTTCCTCACCTGCATACGGAGTTTATATATCTCAGTTGATTCTATACGCACGAGCACGTTCTACGTACAAACAAGTTCTAAAACAACTCACGTTATTGTCAAGTTAATGAAAGGAAATCAAGAATCTTGTTTTAAGCCATCATTTTATAAGTTCTTTTATAGTCGATGCAATAATCCAGTACTAAAAAAATGTTTTACCAGTACGTCGCACTGGATGAATTGTTACACAGCCATAAAATCTTTGATAATCAAACGTTGTAAACAAAATTTGCCATGAAATTACCCTTTCTATTTTTACTTTTGCCAGAAATTTTAATTCGATTATATAAGATTTTTGTTTAAATATTAAGAAAAAACAAATTGTGTATATTGCCGATCAAAAAGAAAGCTATCGAAGTCTTTATCTATTTGAAACTAGATTTCGACACATATATTCAGTTCATTCGCATACCTTCTTAATATTTCAAGTGTTCCCTATAAATAATTTTTTCTTGTCATCTGGCTATTTTTTATTTTAAAATTATTCCGAACTTTTTTTCAAAAATTACTTAGATAATCCTTCCTCTTTTACATAAATATTGGATATCATGATTCAGTATAAGTGTTGAGGAGAAACGTCATTGCAACTTCGCTAAATTCTTTGCGTGCAGCGATAAACAAAACGCAACGATGTGTGTATGTTCATGCTCTTTTTGTATTGCATATATCTAAATAAAATTTGGGGGTAAAAATCAAAATAAGTAGGGAATATGGTATAGTATGCATAATATATATTTTTATGAAAACGTTTAATTATTACAGATTTTTTTTTTAGCAGTTATGACTTTACTTTTGCATCAACCCTCTTATGTCCAATTTTAGAAGCTAAATTACCCAAAGTACAAACTTATTTTTATTTTGATCAGATTTTTTCTGTTCCGGCTTTTTGTGTTAAATGGATAAAGAATATTAGAATGCCCAAGACAGTCAAGGTCTGATACAGATTAAAACTCAGATAATGCGTGATAATAAAATAATGATCCAGTTTTATTGTTCCAGAAACACGAAGCACAAATTGAACTTGCCAGAGGACCAAAGTCTTGACAGATTAAGTCATATATCCTCGAAATAATGCGATATCGTCAATCACCCACTTGAAAATTATACAGGGTCCTCATTTTATATCCATCATTAAAAGAAGTTTTTGGATTTCTACATGACTATCCGCCCTTCTTGCTTATTTTTACATCATATGCACTCAAATCATGGGTAGTTGAAGAAGAATTTCTATGATAAAATGACAATTTTCATATGTACTGATGAAAAATCATGACTCATAATATTACATACTGCAATGAGTGACTATTATGGATTTTAAGGGGGCTTAGATGTATTGATATCTGTTTTTAAAATTAATTTCAGGAATACAGAGTGTCATTCCAAGAACAAATGAAGAGAAGGAGGGAAGCAGAAACAAAGTGTAAATTATTGATCCAGCAGTTCAGGCCAACTGCAGGTAATTTAGCAACAGACACTAAATGATAATTCTAATGCATTTATGCAGATCTAAAACACATAAGAAAAGAAGTAATGAGTAATTTAAATAAGCTCACCTGAATAAATCAAAATTTTCAACAATTCAGGTGTGTGTAAAACATATGGAGCTATTGAACAGTATACAAAATCAGAAGTACATAAAACAATACAAAATAGGAGCAGAGCAAACATGGACCTCCGAAACATCGGAGGTGGGATGAGGTTTCATGGAGTAGTGAGCATCCCCTGCCGTGTGCTCCTTGTCATGATCAGGAAATAACGGAAAAATTCGTCAATTCAGTGTATAAATAATGTACTCACACTTAGTATGAAAAACGTCAGTCAACATTTGACTCAGTGATAAACTGTATTTGCTGACAAGGTCGTTGTATCGACCATAGAACTTACGAAATGATGACTTTAAACGAGCCTGCTAAAATTCTTGTTTTATCAAGCTGTTTGTCAATAATTTACCATGTTTTAGAAATTGTTCATACGTAGAGCATACTCCTGCGTATCGAATCGACTGAGATATATAAACTCCGTATGCAGGTGATGAAGGTATATTGTTGCATAAGTAAGGGAAGTTGACGATAGAAAAGTTTAAGTCATCACCTTTATCATAGAACTTGGTTGTTAGATTAACATTAACGTCTTTTTCAAGTAAAATATCCAAATACAAAACAGATGTGTCAGATTCTGTGCTGTCTTTTATTTCAAGCTCACCAGGATATATCGTATCGACATAAGAATGAAAATTATCATTGTTAATTGACAATACGTCGTCGATATATCTAAATTTCGAGTGTGCTCGTCAATAGGGAATGCTCATTTCTGCTTGATACCTTATCAAAATAATCATCTATGGTGACGACCGATGATTAACCATACTAGAATATCTATTAATGATGATCCTAGGAAGATGAAAAAAGTGTACCATCAAGTAATTTCTGTTGACCAGCGACGTTTGATCAGCCGGACCAAAAGTTTCATTCGTGCTGGACCACACTAAAATAGTTATTGATGTTGATCATGGGCAGGTGAATAACCCCACTAAAAAGTTGATCATGGGCAGGTGAATAACCACACTAAAAAGTTATTTATGTTGATCTTGGGCAGGTGAATAATCGTACCAAATAGTCATACATGTTGATCCGAGACAACATCGGTAAACAACCCTAAGCAATATATTATACCTTTTGCTTTAACTATCAAAGATAAATAATAAGAGCGGGCATCAAACATCAGATTGATCAATTATTTACGAAGACTTTTTATCATTTTAGGTGTAAAAAATTAAAGTAAGTCTTTAATTAAATATTTGTTTCTTTAATAACAATATCAGTTATTCAATGTAAATAGATAAAAGACTAGTTAATTGTTTGGTGGGTGTAATATATGCGTAGCTATACTGAGCACTCTTGAACTTGGGAACAAAGTGGCAATATGCGTTTAGGTCTTGTGTGATATTAGATTTAAGTTGTATAAGAAGTATTATAGAAGATGGCTGTAGTGTTAGTATTATCTGTTATAACAGTTTTCTAACAGTTAAATTTGTCACCATTATTTGTGTATATCTCTGTACTCGATTGCAATATTGTGAGGAGATTAAAGCATTCAGCTCTTTTCAGCAACTTTCGTTTTGCGCAGGTAACACCCGTAACCACGTTGACTGTATAATCTGAAAGACATTGCCTTAGACAGGAAAAAGATAGAATTATAAATGGAAAAGGCAATCCATCTGAAAAAAAGATTAAATTAAATATGAATGTGCACCACACTGCTGAGATAAAAATACATCTATCGTGATTCTATGGTATTGTGGTTTCGTAAAGTTAATCAGATGTAACAATCATACTAAATTCACTAGACACTTCTTAATTATATATTTTTAATATAAATAAAGAAGCTGTTTTATTTTTATCTTAACATTTAATTTTGTTCCTTTTTAAGTTGTATTTAGAGAAATCTGTTTTCCATTATTCTGAGGTATTGTGCTTTTTGCTTTTTAATAACGATTATTTTTTTTTTAGTAAGAACGGTTTTGATGGTCATATTTTGACATTTCTTGATTGGTTTTTTAAAAAGACAAACAAAAAACCCTATTCTATTCCAAACTTAAAGAAAAGTATTCTTTGTTAATCTAAGCAAATTATTAAATTGCCTTCATGCTTTTTCTTAAATTTTCATTTTAAGAAAGTTATTGCCTTTAGCCACAAAGAGTGGCTGCTTTTTTGTCAGTGGGGTACTTTGTGATTACATCGAATATATCATATGTTGATGCAGTGATTAAAATGAATACCGGAAAACTAATTTTAAAAAGTTATAAACGAAGCACAAGAATGATGTTCCAATCATATTGAATCTGATGATATAATGAACACTGAGTGAAATCATGTTTGACTATAAGTATGACTAAATGTTTGACTAAAGGTGTAACTTAATATATGACTATATAATATGACAGTGTATCTATATGTTATTTTTGACTGGATGTTTGATCATATGAATGACTCTATGAATAGCTAAATATGTTTGACTATAATTATGTCTATAACTATATGTTTGACTATATGTATAACTTAAGAACTGGGGTTTCCATTGCGTATTATTTCGCGCATCATAGTGAAATGAAGCGTATTTACTGTTTTCTAGCATTTTTTTTCACTTAATTAAAAAAATTAACCCAATTTTAGAAATAACAGGTTGAAAATTTTAATTACAATTTTATATAACTGATTTTAAAAACGATTTTTCAGCTAATATATACGTAGATTGAGGTCTAAATAGTATTTTTGACGCTATGATAACTTGAAGCTCTTAAAGAAGGGGTAACAAATATGTTATAAAAGAAAATGTATTTAATATATGCTCTTGAAATTTAAAATATAAGAATTTGAGAATCTTTCCATCGTTTTTACTATTTTTTGTATAAATCCTTTTTATCCATCATATTTTGTTGTACTCTATAAAATAAGGAAAATTCTTTTATTTTTGGCATTTCGAAATGCCCTTCAGGAAACAAAACAGTACAATTTTTTTTCTTACATGTAATGTACAATATATATGGTGGCATATTTATGCCATACACATAATTTTTTGTTAACATATCATATCATGTCAAATTAAGATAACTATCTCGTCAAATCATGATTATGGTGGCATATTTATGCCATCCACATAATTTTTTGTTAACATAAGATATCGCGTCAAGTCAAGATAACAATCGTATCAAGTCATGATAACTTTCTGATTAGTCGTCAAACACTGACTTTTATCTTGTACAGTCAAGACAAGCTATCGTATTTTTGCGATAGCTATCTCGACAAAACGCGATAATTTATCTTGTATCGCGATTAAAAGTTAACTCATCATGTCAACATAGCTATTGCAACAAAAATAGTGATAGCTTAACTTGACTTGGCTAGATATAAAGTCGGTGTTTGTTGACAAACCAGAAAGTTATCATGACTTGACGAGATAGTTATCTTGACTTGATATGATATGCTATGTTGACAAAAAATTATGTGGATGGCACCATACATAATAACTTTCAGGTTTGTCGACAAACATCGACTTTATATCTTGTCCAGTCAAGATAAGATATCGCATTTGTTGCAATAGCTATTTTATTCATGATGCAAGGTAAGTTATCTCGTCATGTCAAGGAAGCTATCGCAACAAATGTGATATCTTATCTTGACTGGACAAGATACAAATTCGATTTTGTTGACAAACTAGAAAGTTATCATGACTTGACGAGATAGTTATCTTGACTTGGCATGGTATGCTATGTTAACAAAAAGTTATGTGGATGGCATAAATATGCCACCATAAATATAGTATAACTCATCATATTATATAATATTTTTGAGCAAAACGTCTCTTGTAGTATTTTTATAATTTGCTTCAAAGTGAGAACAAATCACACTTTCTTACATAATCCTATTGTTAATGTACCTTTATTTTGAGACAGCACTTAAAATACCTGGACGGTAGATTTTCCTTAAACTTGGCATGTACACTGAATTCAATGTAAGATATCAGATATGGTATAAAAATAAAAGAGTTTCTCTGTGTAAGTGCGTTTCCCCATTTGAAACTTCGAAAAATACTTTCTTACATGTTGAACTCAATCTTAAAGTACATAATTGACTATCTGCACTGGTTCATTATCCAGATTTTTTTCTTTCTTTCCCTCATTTAATCACTATGCCCTCTTTCGTAATCATACAGATACGCCTCTCTATCCATGAATCTTTAAATCAGTTTTGAAGCATATCATGACAGAATCTCTTTTTAACAAACCTCGGTAAATGTCAGCCGACTTTGTAGATTTGTAATCATTCCCTGGTTAAGGCTGGTTCGTGTTTTTATAGTGTGTTTTACCGGATTTCTTTCTTCTTTTGTGTCTTTTGTGTTTTAGTTATCTTGTTACGTCACTTACAGACCTTACCTCCAGTTTCTTCCGAAAAAAAATAAACCATTTAGATCTCATGATGGCAAAGTGTACTAAATAACAATTCCTGTAGGTGTTTAACAGCTGTAATTAATTCATTAGGGTAGAACAATTAACACCCTGTAACACCACATGTAAATTTAGCAGCAAAACTTATAATCTCGCTTATTTTAAACAAACATAATTGCACTATTAATTGCCCATGCTTTTCGTGCAAAATATGAATAAAACTTTTTGAGTATTTCGAAAGTAATTTGGTATCATTGATTCAATGAGGAATTCAGATGGAAAAAAAACTAGGTAATATACTGCCAGCAGTCTGTAAAACAATACTGTGATCTCCCATTAGAAATTCATCTGCACTCAACAAACGCATGTTATGATGTATCATAACAAACACTGATTTGTGTGTCAAAGGGCATCAAACGATAAATTTACTGCCGCTAAATCGATACAAAGAACACATCCCGTACACCGGGGAGACGAAGTTTTATTGGTTTCTTTGTTACTGGAATTTGTTTTATTTTATTTACTGACAAAGATAATTGATGATGCTCCCTTACTTCCGTAACTCAGGATATCTCTGTACTTTTAGGGACAGTAGAAAGAAATAAAATAAATCCTAGGACCGTAAATATGTATTAAAATCATATTTATCAGAAAATCAAAAAATTCTCTCGCAAAGGAAAGCATTAAGTAGTTTAAGAAACTCATAGAATAAATACTTTTACTCTTTTCACTAATATTATTCTATATTGGGAAATAGTTATAAAAAGTTATATTTTCAAAAATTAAATTTCAAGATTAAACTTGAAATTGTACATTTAGTACGAAATTCTACTGTCTGTATATCGAAATTTAAGACATTTTCTAAAATATTAACACTTTATTTATCAATAATTCCGTGTATAGCAACCCTAATAAAATCGATAAAAATATATGAACGATAAGCAAGAGCATTCTCTACGTATGAATAATTTCTAGAACGGAGTAAATTATTGACAAATAAGTTGATGAAACAAGAATTTCAGTTGTCTCGTTTAAAGTCATCATTTCGTAAGTTCTATGGTCGATACAATGACCTTGTCAGCAAGTACAATTTATCATTGAGTCAAATGCTGACTGACGTTTTACATACTAATCGTTAGTCCATTATTTAAATATACACTGAATTGACGAAGGATTTTTCCGCTTTTTCCCGATTATGGCAAGTTACACATGGTGGGTGTGATCAGCGGGCTGGGTATGCTTATATAACTCTCCCATGGCATCTCATCCCACCTCTGATGTTTTTGAGGTCCAAGTTTGCTATGCTACTATTTTGTATTGCTTTATGGACTTTGATATTAAATACTGTTCGTTATCTCCATATCCTTCATGTACATGTACATTAATATTTTAATGTCAAAATGAAGTATGTTAAAATCAGGAACATAATATGTAAATGTAACGAACAGAGATCACAATCTGAAGCAACCGTGTGCTCCTAGTCATGATTTGGAAATAACGGAATAGTCCTACGATTTGTATGTATGCATTAGGTATGTTTATAATGACCTAAAGAGTTAAATGAAAAACTTCGGTCTGTCAGAATTGAACTTAATGATAGATTATAATTAACTGACATGGTCGTTGCATAGACCATAGAACTTACGGAAGGATAACTTTGAATGAGACTATTTGTTGAAACAATGTAACTGTTTATGAAACAATGCATTTGGACATACTTAAAAATTATATCATTATTTCAATATCAATCTTTGGTTGAATATTTCTTGCTTATAATTCACGATACTCACAAACTATCCTCTTTCTTAAGTATTTTCTCAATTATTCTATTTTGTAATACGTTAAAATGATGTCATAAGGACAGAGGTAATACTTTAAAATAATGTCTTAAGGACAGATGATACAAACAATTTTTTTCTTTGGAGGAGATTTAGTATCTTGTCACAAGTTAAGAAACGTGGATAATTCTTAGAATTTTTTCTCGTAAGAGCTGGAAAATGAAATAAACTTGGAAAATATCAGTAATATTTCAATGTAACTACAAATATGGACAAAACACACTCAGTAAATGTTTACAAATTTCAGAATATGTTACTTTGGTGCTAAAAGTATAATATAAACTCTAGAAAAATATACCAAGCCAGGTGAATTTTATTAGGGAAATCAAAATAGTAAAAACCAGCCTATGTGATATTGCTGATTTTTTTTTTTGGACATTTTGTTTTTCCTCATTAAATTGTAAACCTTTACTGGGTGCTATTTGTCTATATTTGTTTTTTTATTGAAGTATTCCTGATATTTTCCAAGTCTATTTCATTTTCCAGTTCATAGGAGAAAAAATTCTAAGAATTATCCACTTTTCTAAACTTGTGACATGATATTAAGTCTCCTCCAAAGAAAAAAATGTTTGTATCATCTGTCCTTAAATGTCTTAAATAATAAATTAACCTTTTTTGATAAAGGTGCACAATTTAAAAAAAATGTACTAGGAGTTTTCTTTTATGTTAGTACTTTTTTATTACCAGATTTGACATGCCCGCCAGTGTGGGATCACGTGACTTGTTGGAATGCGACAGAATCCGGTGTCACTGTTACGCAGCCTTGTCCCCATTACATACATAAGTTTCTTTTACACGGTATGTATTTAAAAAGTCTCATACGTTTTATAGTGTTTACTCGTACAAAGTTTGGGGGATACATTTAGTGGGGCTTTTTTTGAGAAATTCAAAATCTACAACTCAAAGCATGAAAAAGGTAAAGAACAACTGACAGAAAAAAATGTTTGATTTCTATACCCGATTATTGTTATTTTGAAATGCAGACCACTTATTGTAAAACGTTTTAATTAATAAAAAAGTGAATAAAATATCATCGTTGATAGCTTTCACTATGTTTATTTCCGTATAAAAATTAAATACTGTGTGTCAGAATCCTGCTGAATGTCCAAGTCAAGATACGTCTTAGGCTTTCAGGCTATTTGGGCATTTCAATTCTTCAGACGTTTTTAATGAAGATATTCTCAATTATCTACGTATTATAGCTCTTCTGGGAAGCATTATAGGTGTGATTTATCGATTTTATGTCTTTTGTATCATTATTTAATCAAGTGAAATATTTTCCCGGTCTGGACGGGGTCTTTTTTACACTAATTGTTCCGTTACGGTTTTCAGTTAAATACAATGCAATTATATTACAAATTCTCAAGTAAGAAAACACCAAATGAGATATAGGTAAGCTTTCTTCCTGTCGTTCAAACCACAAGGACTACGAAAAATCAATATTCACAGGATGCTTAATTTGGTAGAATATGTTTGCTTTAATGAGCTTATACCTGTTGTTGAAGATAAGCTCTGAGAAGAGTTATTATTTACGGCAAAAAAAGAGACACTTTATTAAAATCCTCATATAAGACTGATTACTTCTAATTTAAGACTCTCCAAATGAAATTCTTTCTAAGAAAATAAATTACATTATCAATGCTTCAGAAAATATTATCATCCCTCTCGATTTTCTTTGAGTTATTATTACTCATTTTCAGGATTTGCAAGAAAGACCTGCACAGAGAACGGTACGTGGTTCATCCATCCTATCTACAACAGATCCTGGACTGACTTTACTGGCTGTATACCTCTAGAAAACAGGTGGCAGTCTATAAATGTGAGCACATTTTACTTCTATATATAGAGTGTGTTCGACTGATACCGGTCAGTGAAATGACTTCCGTGTTGTCCAAAAGTACAAGAACCTTTCAATCATTCTATCTTGATCTCTAAGTTTATTTGAGTCTTGCTCTTAAATAAAATTCTGGATATAATTAAGGACAGAAGATCATAAAGAAGATACATAGAGAAAAATCGATTTGAGGGAATTTCTCGTTTTGTAAGCTATCATTTAGCGAAACCAAATTTAACAGAATGGCTAGATCGTCGATACTTTAAAAGTTACCGCAAAGAAGTCTTAATGTATTTAAGTTTTTGGTGCTATTTTTGTTTTACCTTCTCATGCAAAAAGAAAAAAATCGATGAGAAGCTTAAGAAAACGAGAAAGCAAAAGAAAACCTTATAATCGGATAGCATATCTAAATTATATAATTATATCCCAAAACCATGTAATGTCGGTTAGTAATGTACAATATACTAGTATATAGTTACATCTTGAAAATGGTTCGTAATCTTCGCCTTTTACATTTATAAATAAATTGATGAATTAGTAAATATTAAAATATTAAGATATATCACATCCTTTTAAGAATCAAATATGCAGTTAAACATATTCACTTGTGTTTGCCTTTATGTATATTTCAGCCCCATCTGGATCGTATTCAAGTTATGTCTATCGTGGGTTATGCAGTATCGCTCGTGTCTCTACTCGTGGCAGTTGTCGTCCTTCTTCAACTTAGGTACAGGTAAGTTATGACGTCATTACTTAAATTCAAGTGGATAAGTTATGACGTTTCATCAGTCCAAAAAAAAAGTTCTAAGTATGTTATGGCGTCAATGCATAAAAAAAAATTTACCTAAAAATAACTACTAACAAAGAAGATTATGATATACAATTTACTGAAGTAGTTGGAAATCTCAGCTTTATTTTAGAAACCTTTCTCTACCCATGAAAACAAATTTTATGCATGCAGAACTCATTTAAAATAATTATTTTTTAAAACCTCTCAGAAGTTATAGCAATGGTTGTAATTTGATTGTATTTACTTTTCATTTCATCTCTGACAGAGCCATATTGAATTGTAAAAGAACTCGATCGAAGATTACCACACTGCATATCAACATGTTCCTAAGCTATATATTACGAGCAGCTGCTTCACTACTCAAGGACTACTTTCTGGTGGATGGATTTGCCCTCCCCAAAGATATTCTACACAATGGAGAACTGTTAGGGCTCAAGGACGATGGACCGGTGAGGTCATAAATATCATGTTGTTTTATAAAACGTTGACATGAAAACCCATTTTATGACAGTTTAGGAGGAAAAGCTCTCAGTAAATTGTTGACATGATTGTCATAATATAGGAGACATGTCTGTAAACATGTATCATAAATCTAGAAATACTGTAATTTAAATATTTCTAATTCAAAATTAATTTGATTCGAATAACCACATTGGAACAAAATGATTTTGTTTCTTGCAGTCAAAATATTCTCTCTCTCTCTCTCTCTCTCTCTCTCTCTCTCTCTCTCTCTCTCTTCTTCAGTTCTATATTGATATACTTTCTATCTACCTGCAGCACTGGGAATGTAAACTCCTCGTGACCTTCTTCATCTACACACTAGTGGCCAGTACTTTCTGGCTTACAATGGATGCCCATGTTCTGAGAAAACTCATCGATAAAGATCCCTGGTACCTTGAAAAGAAAAGATATACACGCCTGCACATTGCCATAGGATGGGGTAAGAGAAATTGAAAGTAATAATATCAATAGAGAAAAGATTAAGATATATACCCATGCACTTTGCCATATGATGGGGTAAGGGGGCTAAAAGTAAAGGCGTCGATAGAGAAAAGATGTACATGCCTTCACTTTACTACATAATAGAATAAGGAAACTAAAATGAAATGAAAAATACAGATTGTATATATCTACGATCTACGTATAAACAATTTCTAAAATGAGGTAGATTATTGACAAACAAGTTGATGAAACAAAAATATCAGCAGTCTCGTTTAAAGTCATCATTTCGTAAGTTCTATGGTCGATACAATGACCTTGTCAGTAAAAACAATTCATCATTAGTCAAATGCTGACTGATGTTTTTCATACTAAGTGTTTGTCCATTATTTATACACTAAATTGACGACGGGTTTTTCCATTATTTCCTGATCATGACACAGAGCGAGTGTGATCGATAGGCAGAGGAAGCTCAATCATCCATGGCACCTGATCTCACCTCTATGTTATGGAGGTCTGTGTTTGCTCAGCTCCTATTTTGTATTGTTTTATGGATCCGTCGACAATTCCGTGTGTAAATAATGGTCTAAGAATTAGTATGAAAAACATCATTCTGCCTTTGACTTACCGGTAATGATATATTGTATTCGTTGGCACGGTCATTGTATCGACCATAGAACTTACGAACTGATGAGTTAGACGAGACTGCTGACATTTTTGTTTAATCTGTTTTTTTTTTGTCAATAATTTACCTCGTTTTATAAAATTTTAATACATAGAGCATATACTAGAGTATCGTAAAAGTAAAATTATCAATACAGATTTACACACCCGCACATTGTCAAAGGTTGAGGAAAGGAAATTAAAAGTTATATCGATAGGGAACATACGTATTATGAACATTTTTTGAATGCAGTAACTGCCGCTTAAAAATCGAAGTTTTATTTTTATTTTATTTTTTTTTGTAGTTGGCCCTTTGGTGATTGTTATTGCATGGGCTCTTTTTCGAACTTTTGCAGAAGATTATCTGTAAGTTAAGTTTTATTTTTCGACTTTTTATTTGATAAGATTGTCTCTGTCGAAATCATCAATCTTAATGTTTTGCATATGGTTTCAGTAAAATAAGACATTTGTTAAGACTTATTTGCATTCATTTCTCTTTAGATGTTGGAATACTAATCCACGACTGTGGACAGTGTGGATTTACAGAGTGCCCATTATCTGCATGAACCTGGTGAGATTGCTTTTGTCGAAATCGTTTTGTCTTCTAAATTTGTGTTGTTCTATGCTTTACTGAATGAACAAATAATAAAAATGTTCTACTTTCAGGCAAATTTCCTGTATTTTAGCAGGATAGTGACGTTTATGTACAAAAGAGTGAGAAGAAATTGTCTGAAAAGGAAAACAAATAATAACAGAGGCACTGTATTGTAAGTATATAGAAATCATTATGATTAACCAAAAACATATATATGACCGCAACACCTGATTTAGTAGACCTTAGTCTTTTATAAAACAAAAAGGCTGTATCTTACTTTTATTTTTGTTCCTGTTTGATAACTGTGTCTGTTTAAATAGGACATATTACTTTATGTTCATTTCTCAGTTTTATATGTGTGGTTGTCTAATTTTCTTGGAGAAACATTAATAGATTCTTAGTTTAATTCCAACCTTATTCTAATTGAAGAGCCTTGCTAAATGAAAATTAAAAATTGCCTATGGCAATCTTTCGAATCAGAAGAAAATTGATAAAGTTAGATCTGTAAGTGGTCTTGGAAATAAAGAGTTTCATATTTTAAAAAAAATGAATTTTCTTTTATTAAAATGTCAATAATGCCACACAATATATATATTGTTTTAAATTAATATACAAGCTAAATTAAAAAATAAATACATCAAAAGTTTCTTCTTACTAAAGAGTATAAATAATTGGCTGAAATTTGAAAATTTTTATAATTGAAATTTTGCCATGAAGAATGAGGTTTCTTGACTATAGAGGGAATAAAAGGATATTCACCCTGAGGTGAAGCACAATAATGATAATGTATGTTGAAGTAGAAAAAAATTAAATATGATAAATGAAATAAGACGCAGCAACTACATGTACATGTATTAATATATTTACTAATGCTAACAACGAATTATTCCAGAATGTTTTATAAATGTTGAAACAAAAGAAAAGATATGTTCATTCTCTGCATTTACTCAATAAATTTATCCTTCATAATAAGACTTATGTAACTCAATGTGGATTTGGTAAAAAAAATTAATTAGAATAGGCGGGTATTTGTGATTATCAGTCTTTAATTTAGCTGCAGATCTGTAGCGTTATGGTTTTATATACATGTATTTGTCTTTGACCATAACGCTACAGATCCCGTAATGCAAAATGGTGCAATTTACGGCGCAATATTTTTTGCGCTCTTTTGGGGAGAATTTCTCCACTCCTAGTATTGGTCAATCAACTACCTTTCACTCCCTTATTCTAGACACATATTGTAGTCAATATGTATATTTTATCCACCTCCCAACCATTTATTATAGTTGTCTCTACAGGCAATAAACTCGCTTGAAGTGAATTTTCAGCAATCTAACAGATAATTTTAATAAAGCGAGTTTATCAAGTGTAGAGACGACTATAAAGGGTTGGGAGATGGATAAAATATACAGATTAATTAAATAATTTGTCTAGAATTAGGGGTTGAAAAGTAGTTGATTGAACGATGCTGGAAAGTAGAGAAATTCTCCCCAAAAGAGCGCAAAAAATATTGCGCCGTAAATTGCACCTTTTTTGCACTACGGGATCTGTAACGTTATGGTCAAAGACAAATATATAAAACCATAACGCTACAGATTTGCAGCTATCTTTAATTAAATTAGTGAGTCTTTGTCGCTATGACCAAGTACATATGTGTATTAATTCTACTTAATTAGTCTGACATATATTGACTGTTATTTTCATTCTCTACAGGAAGATGACCAAGCACATATGCATCTTAATTCCGCTGTTTGGAGTACCGTATATCATCTTTACCATCATGTCATTTTTCTTTGATGTGGCTTACCTGTATGCTGAAATGTTCTTCAGTTCATTTCAGGTAAAAGTAAAAATAGTTTAGAAAAATCAAGAAAAGAATAAAAGTTATGAGAATTTCTATTTACTGGACAAGTTTGTGGGCAGTATTTCACTCTTGATACAATAATATATGCATTGTAATATATATCTTAGCTATTTTACAGCAAAACTCCTGTAAAAATCATTTTCAATAAGATAAAGAAAGATTTTACTTTTGTATTTCAAGGATATAAAATTAGTCTTTCGTCATTTGTTATCAATGAAGACATTTAATGTTCAAATTTATTTTTCACAGAATAACTAAAATGTTTAACTACAGATATATAAGGAACTACAAGGTTTATATGGAAACTAAAAAGAAGCTGGACAAATATTATATTTCGTTTCCTTGCAGGTTTAGGTTTTTCATTTTTAAACTGTTTCTTTCTCTGTTTTAGGGTTTCTTGTTGTCTGTCACGCTATGTTTTACGGATAAAAGAGTAAGTAAAACTTATTTTTGATACACCATTTTCCTACATGGACAATGAAGGATATGGAGATAACGAACAGTATTGAAGATCAAAGTCTATCAAACAATACAAAATAGGAGTAGAGCAAACACGGACCTCCGAAACATCAGAGGTGGGATCAGGTGCCATGGAGGAATGAGCATCCCCTGCTGACCGGTCACACCCGCCGTGTGCTCCTTGTCATGGTCGGGAAATAACGGAAAAAATCCGTCGTCAATTCAATGTATAAATAATGGACTAACAATTAGCATGAAAAACGTCAGTCAGCATATGACTTAATGATAAATTGTATTTGCTGACAAGATCGTTGTATCGACCATAGAACTTACGAAATGATGACTTTAAACGAGACTGCTGATAGTCTTGTTTCATCAACTTGTTTGTCAATAATTTACCTCGTTTTAGAAATTGTTCATACGTAGAGCATGCTCTTGCGTATCGAATCAACTGAGATATATAAACTCCGTATGCAGGTGATGAAGGTATATTGCTGTATAAGTAAGGGAAGTTGACGATAGAAAAGTTAAAGTCATCACATTTATCATATAGCTTGGTTGTTAGATTACCACACAATACACAATGGTTAAGTGATGATGACAATTATTTTAATGAAACGATAAAACTCACTTTTGTTGACTATTTTGACATGTTTAAAAAGTACAAAATGAACAGCACTAACTTAAAATTACATATTAGTATGTTTATAATGCAGTTTTGTTTTGAAAGTAAGCTGTGTGATTAGTAAGATTTCAAATTAACAGGTGGTCCAGGAAGTCCGACAAATTATCTCACGATGTGTTAGCACTCAGCCAAAGAGAACCATCGGTAGAAAGGCGTCCCAGTTCTCCACGACGGGTAAAACTCAGGGCTCAGATGTGTACTAGTGAATGCTAATGTTAAATGTGTACTAGTGACCACAAACATCAGGTGTGTATAAGTGCAAAATCGTATCAGATTTCTACTGGTCAACACAACCATCAGATGGATTCTTGATCAGATGTATATTCATGATAATGAACACTTACGTCAGATAAGGACATTTGAAAACTAATGTCGGTATTGTGTACCAATGAACACTTAAGACAGGCCAACGAACACAACACCTAACGAGTACTAGTTAACAAGTTCGTCAGAATACTAACGGCAGGTACAAATGAACACTAACACCAGACAAGTACTAGTGAACGCGTACGTCATTTGTCTATTAGTGAACATGGGCGCCAGAGCTGTTGCAGGTTCGAATGAACACTAAGGGAACGCGTTATATATCTACTAAGGAATACTAACGTCATATATACAAGTGAATGTTATGGTCGGGTGTCTACTTAGTAAACATAAATATCAGATTGTACTGGTGAATACTAACATTAATTATACACATGTATACTAGAGAACATGCAGGTCAAATCTGGTGAATTCTTCTATCTGAGGTGTGCAATGACTCAAGTGTCCGATGTCTTCTAATGAACACTAACGTCAAGACTACATGTGAATTCTTGTGTCTTCTGAATCATTTCTCTTAATTTATATTTCTCTAATGTCAAGTGTTTACTATGGAGAACTCTCGTGTCTAGGTTGGGTTTTTATTCATAAAACGGCTAAAGATAATGAACAGTGATGGATCTCATAAAAAACTTCAAACAATTCAAATCTATGACATAAATACGCACACCTGGCATTCTAGAGTTTCTATAGCCTCGTTAAGCGGCGTCATTGTCTTTATTAGCAGATCCATCCTATCATTGGGTCGTATTTTGCCTGCTTTGTTTCATATCAATTGTAAAGCCTTTCTTTAGTAACAAATTGAACTACGGAATGCTCTGTCTACCTGGTGAATATATAGAGCTCTCGGCGTTTATGTCAGGTCAGCAGGGGATGCTACCTACCCCATGGCACCTGATCCCACCTCTGTTGTTCTGGTGATCCGTGTTTGCTCTGCTCCTATTTTTTATTGTTTAATGGACTTTTGAGCTCGGATAAATTTCGTTATCTGCACGTATTTAACTACTCCTCCTGGACACCTAATCGCACTCTCAGCCGTCCATGTTTATGCCCCTTCTATTTTGTATCGTTAACAGATCTTTTAAGATCGATCTCTGTCTGTTATCTTCACCTTTTTCCATTTAAGGAAATGAAAATCTATACATTCATATACATACCATAGTATATAATATATATTTTTTTTTTGTCCAAGACAAGTATATATGTATATAGCGTATGGCGGTGTGAAAGCAGTTTAAGATAAGATAATGAATTTAGAAGTGAAACAATAAGTGCAATCCCATCATACATCATACATGATTTTGTACAAAGAAAATAGTAGTAAATAAAGGATATGGAGATAACAAACAGTATTCAATATCAAATTCCATAAAACAATACAAAATAAGAAACAGAGCAAACACGGACCTCCGAAACACCAGAGGTGGGATCAGGTGCCATGGAGGAGTGAGCATCCCCTGCTGACCGGTTACACCCACTGTGTTTTTAACAGCATGTGTGGAAAATGACATGGATTCTAGGAAATGTACTTTATTCTATATGGAGTTTACTTGTATACTAGACTGTAGACAGTATATAATAAGCGCCTTTGGTCTATATTTTTCATAACTGTTTATATATTTCATTTTAATCAGCTCTTTTGTTACAAATTTGGACACCTACCTTAATAAATATATCAACCTCAGGTCTAGCTCAGCATAATGTTACATGAAAGTTTGATAGTCAGTTTTACATTTTATGTTTTATGCAAAAAAGTTTGCGAAGGAAAATTCAAGATAGAAAATAGATACGAGATTTTTCAACTTTGTATGGAATTAAATCAAGATGTTTGAATGTTTAATAGTTCATGAATTCTTTCTTAGCACCCTACACAATAGGTTATACATCACTTAATTTGAAAGTTGTTTTAAAGAAATATTTTAAGGAAATGGTGACATTCGTTGCCTTGAAGGTTTAGAATAATTTTGTATCACTTTAATATCCGTGACTGATTGCCAACCTCAAGCAGGGTTCATACAGTACATGAATTAATCTATTTATAAATATTTACATTTTTGTCTGTATTGATTTTAATGTGCGCTTTCTTTGAGTAACATTGGTTTTTTATCATTATACACAACACATGAGCTATCAGAAGTATTTGAGGGACTAACAAGTTTGACTTTGTTTTCTGAACGATACATTAATATTTTTTTATTGTTATCCATCATCATTTCATCTTTAGGAGGAAAAAGAAATTATATTTATATATCGCTCAAGCTGTTGTTTTTGATGAAATAAGAAAGTATCTTCACGACATACATTTTTAATATTTTGTATAATGTGAATAAATATTTTAGAAAAGTTAATATTTGGTTTTCTTCACTTTTTCTTAAAAAAAAAATAATTTATGATTAATTTACTAGTTTATGAATAGTTCATAAACCTGTAAATACATCATCTGCATATCTTCTCTTTCACTTCTTTAAAAACGCATTGTCTTTTTTCAGTCAGCAGAAAACACAATAAAGCATATCAATTGTACAGGTGCATAATCGTAGCTCTTATAAAAGGAAAATGCATGCAGCTAAAAAAAATCTGTCTTTTCCTTAGCTTTCAATATGCCAACACACAATTCTTCAATTAAAAGAAAAGCCATACAAAACTAAATATATGGAGATAACAAACAGTATTCGAGCTCAAAAGTTCATTAAACATGAAAAAAAGAAGCGGAGCAAACATGGACCAATAAAACATCAGAGATTGGATCAGGTAAAATGGAGGAGTGAGCATCCCATGCTGACCGGTCACACCAACCGTGTGCTCCTTGTCATGATCTGGAAAAAAAACCTGGACACCTCAGTGTGTAGATAATGGTCTAACAATCAGTCTGAATAAGTCAGTTGACATTGACTTAAATGATAACTCTGATGAGATTGCTGATATTCTTGCTTTATCAACTTGTTTGTCAATAACTTCCTCGTTATAGAAATTGTTCATATGTAGAGCATAGTCTTCCGTATAAAAAATGTAAACTCCTTATGCAGGTGAAAAAGGGAAATTGCTCATTGAACAGTTCAAGTCATCACGTTTAATAAAAAAAAAATTGTTATAGATAACAGTTCAGAAAACCATTTACGTTTTCTTCTTGTAAAAGATATAAAAATGAAACGGATTCGTCAGACTCTGTGGTATCTTTTTTAAGCTCACCGGGATCAAATATCTACATTACCGGGTTCTACAGCAATAAGGTCAGCATGTGGGTAAAAAGTTTATAGGTAAAGTGATTTTTAATTGAGTTTTACATACAAAAAAATTAAGGCCAAATGATACAAGCACAAAAATGGATGCCTAGATTGGTATATATTTCTGAACCTACTTTTGTTGAAAATGAAGAATTTTATAACTCTCCAAAATATTAAGGAATTTTAAGCCTTCTATGATGATTCTACCTGTCAAGATTCTTCCTCATTTATCTATACAAATATTTTTCACTCCAAATTCCATTTTTGTGAATCTTTGAATTAAAAATTAAAAACTACGCGGTAAAACTTGCTCATTTTACGCATTGAATCATGACTCAGGTTGTCAATCTCAAATTTTATGACGAAATTTGTTTGTATCATCTGTCCTTACACTGTAATACCGTCTTCAAAATATGCTTTATACATGTATACGTATTAAAGAAATTGAACCAAAATGACGACTGAAGATACTGTCCTCTGTCATCGAAAATAATAAGAAAGATTATAATTACATTAAAAAAATCAATTGGGCAAAATCTATTTGATCAAATACATGTAGCTGTACTCCTTATTTCAAAACAACTTTACTAACAGCGCTTAAAAAAAAAAAAGATCACGCTCTACAACACCCAGTACTAGTATATATATTACAGAATATCATAACCGGTATTAGAAGAAATACTTTGAAAAAAAATGAAGGTGATACGTTTACTTTCTTCAGAATCTAGATATCATAATTCTGACAAGTTCATATATTTTGTCGATATACATGTACAAATTTACGCACTAGCATAGGCACAAAATGGCAAAGGACATTTGGCTCGCTAACCCCTCCCCCCCTCCCCCCTCTCCCCCCTTACATGTCGCTTCGTGGCATAGTGGTTGTATCATTTGTTAGAGAGTCACGAAGTAAGACTTTGATCCTTACGTTTCGAGTTCGAATCCCACAACGGAATGTTGAGACCGATCCCTCGGACAGTATAAACCGTGTTTCCTTGTCGCAGCAGCAGCAGCAGCATAATATCCAGCATGTCGATAGATTGCTTTCATATACATGTGATCTTTTTCATATCTATTGTTCGTGACACGCTATTCGTTTCGGTTTCTTAGAATATTTTCTAAAACTGTCACATTTCTGAAAAAGATTAATCAGATCAAAAGAGATGATTGTCGCCATTACTAATATGATGACAATGATGACGGTGCTCCTACATATCCAATACGCCAGTTTCGAGATTGTAACTCTCCTACGATAGAGGCGCAAAAAGTATCCATTTCGGCAGGGAGGTGGGGCAGGTTGTTTCTGTACACAAACGTGCAGAAGTAAATGAACGATATTTATGGCTTTTAAAATTTATTAAATGTTATAAAAAGATAATGATATTAAGCAGTGATGCATTTGATGATTTTATCAAGTTCAACTATGCATATTTACAAATCTACTTTAAATTATAGGTACTTGAAAACGAAAGAAACGTCATAGTCTTAATAAAAAGTAACCGATTTTCTTGATCGTACAACCTTCTTTTTTTTTTTTAAAGTTTGTGGGTTTTTTGAAATTATAATAAGGAAAAGAATCAATGTGTCGTTAAGATCGCCTACGTACAATGATCAGATGCATGTGTACCGGTTTTATTAGAGGTCCTAATTTCTTCCCTCGTCTGAAAAGTCTCACATCCACCGACATTTTCTTTTTTGTTACGATTTTTTAACTTTAAAAAATGACTTCTTTAAATTAATTCGGTTATTCTCGAAATGTAGAGTGCATCCTGACAATCATGTAGTTATGATAAACCAGTATATCGATGATACAATGTATCCAACATATAAACATCAAATATAGTTGTCCCACCTGTTTGTTTACGCGGCAACGAAACTCCCCTCCTTAACGAAAGAGCGCACCAAGGGAGATAATCTCGAAACTTGCGTATTCGTTCAGACGATTTGTATGTCGTCCTTTGCACAGGAGATTCATCTGACGTTTGAAGATAGTTCAGATTTGTATACCTTTCACTGTGCAACAAGTTCACGGATTTGATTTTTGTTGAGCAAGAATCATTGAAATTTTGTTTTATTCTTCTGCAAGCACAGTTGCAGATTGTCTTTGGTTCTTGTAAAGATGTAGTAAAAGTACGACGAGCATTTGTGGGATTTGTCGTTTTTATTAAATCTTTTGAAGTAAGATTGACACATTCTGAAGAAATGGTTTTCAAAGTCGTGTGTATCGAGGACACTACATTTCTAGATGTACCAGTTGTAGAAAACATTACCTTGTCGCATAAAAACTCTGTGTAAATCAGTATTAAAAGGATTCATGACAGGGGTTGTTTTCGATGTCCTTAGTAATAAGAGCTTGTAGAAGCTGTGCTATTTTCATTTTTTCTAAATTTTATTTTAGGTCTAGATATATGCTTTTCTTGCGTTAAAACAATGTTTATGATAGTTGACAAAAGAGTTATTTCAGGTATTGCCAATACATTTGATAGAGCAGTGGGGAGAGCATTTCTGTTCTCATGCCAGAATTTCCAGAATCATCATGACAATTGCCATCAAACAATACTGTAAAATCACATATTTTCGTTGGGTGGAATTTTTGGGGTTTGAGAAAAAAAAATATTGGTTCGTAGGGATTTGATTTTGTGGATGAAGAACTCTTAAGTAGTTGTGCATATGAAAATTAACATTTCGTAGTGGGCATGAATTCGTGGGTCTCTCCATACCTCGAAAACAACGAAAATTAAACCCCCTTGAAAATTAGTGATTTCACAGTACAAAAACATCGTATTCAGACTGAATGTTCAGACGTTGTCCCTTTTCTAATGGTACTATAAAAAGTTATTTTTAAAATGCAATGCCAATTTTCGCTGCAGGTACCATATCAGTTTTGCAGGTCGAGACCACTAGATTTTCTGACGTCAGCATACA